GGGGGCTTTTGATGTGAAGGGAGGACTCTGATGTGAAGGGGTGCTTTGATGTGAAGGGGGACTCTGTGAAAGGAGAGGAATCTGATGTAAAGTGGGCAAACACGAGCATTGAAGCACACTGCACCATATGGATGTCTATTCCCCATCTGATGGATTTGGAATTGGAACAGTAAGACATGTGAAGGAGGACAGGGGCGGAAGATGGAGTCAAGATAATAAATATACTTCAGAGAGATCTGGCATTTGAGTAACGTGCATATTGTGGGTTACAATAAGATTGTGGACATATTGGCAAAACATAGCGGTCTACATATAAAATATTTGCATAGTCCAGGATTTGTTGCGTGCACGTTAACCGGCTGTTGCGAGAATATTCTTAGTGTAATTTCTCTTCTGGTCGAATGTTCTTCAATAGGTATATTTATACAGAAGAGGGTGAATGGGGAAAATACTGTAATATGGCCACTAGAGGGAGCTGGAGATCATAGGAAATAAACTAGGGCTGTTACTGATTAAAATTTTCGTGTTCGATTAATCAAATTTTTTAAAATCGATTAATCGATTAATTTTGATTAATTATAACGCACATACAGATCCAACTACATTGGCCTATACACATACAGCACAGCAATGAAGTAATAAAATGAACTAGGATCACACTAATCCAGCACGTTATTAATCTCACGTGCCCAACTCAATATGGCCGCCTCTTGAGTGGGGCAACTCAGAATAATAACGTGCTGGATTAGTGTGATCCTAGTTCATTTTATTACTTCATTGCTGTGCTGTATGTGTATAGGCCAATGCCTTGGCTGGCGCTCTCGTCACCGGTCTCCTCCCCCCTTCCCTTCGTTAGCCCTCACGGACATCGATGTCACCGGTCTCCTCCCCCCTTCCCTTCGTTAGCCGATGGAGCCACTTGGGGACATCGACGTCACCAGACTCCTCCCCCCTTCCCTTCGTTAGCCGACGGAGCCACTTGGGGCGGTGAGTTTGCCCAAGAAACTTTCTGCACGGAGGAGTCCGGTGACGTCGATGTCCGTGACGTCCCCGGATCTCCAACGGGACTCCCGGAAGGCGGCGGAGAGGTGAGTATTTTCACTCGCGATCAAAAAAAATTTTATCGATCCAAAACATTTTAATCGATCAAAAAGATTAACGATTAATCGAGAAATTAATCGTTAATTTGCACAGCCCTAGAATAAACACATTAGTAAAGAGATACAAGTCAAGAGGATGCTGGAGGGATTGAGCATATGATGGAACCATTGCCCTCCTCTTAGTATTAATGGTTACATTTACATGTTCATTCCTTCCAGCAGTCTGTAGAATTGTAACATTGTATCTCCTTACTAACAAGTATTTATTTCCTATGATCCTCAGCTCCATCTAGTGGCCATGGCGGGGTATTTTCCCCATTCACTCTATTACTGAACCTATTGAAGTACGTTCAGCCAGGAGAGGAATTAGTCCAGGAAAATTCATGGTTGCCCCATTCTCACAACAGGTAACTCGCACACAATGAATGTCCATGCAGTTTTGCTGGATGAATAAGCTATGCAAACCCCTTAGTTTCTTGACTATAATTCTTCTTTAATATCACAGGGTGTCAGTTGGAGCCATGATGTGTCTGTGCCCGCCTGTGCCCGCCCCTCCCCCGCATCATCATGGATGAACCCTCCTGTTGCATCATGGGAATTGAGCTTTTGGGGTTCCTGGCTCAAACCTGCACAGTTACAAAAGTGGCCACACACGTCCCAACATCTTCAATTCTTCCATATACAGATGACTGTTAGCGCCAAAGAATTGGGTGCTGTTCTCTTCAAATGACACACGGGTGGGCAAACTCCGGCCTTCCAGCTGTGGTGAAACTGCACATCCCATCAAGCCTCTGCCTCTGGAAGTCATGCCTGTGGCTGTAGGAATCTTGCAATGCCTAATGGCATTGCAGCTGGAGGGCCAGAGTTTACCCGCCCCTATATATAACATTGTTATGCAATTAAGTGCAAATAATACATCAGATAGACCTACGTCCTACCAGCGGATCTGTCCCTGGTGACTTCTCTCACCTATGACCTCACTCCCTCCATGTGGCTGTGTCTCTGCTTGTCCCTTGCTAGTCATAAGTGTTGCGAGGGAGAGAATTCCATTGGGTGGATGTGCCGGTTCCTTTATGGAGAACCTGCTGCTGACGAGGTGTCCCTAGCAGCAGAATCGGCAGGCTTATACATTGGACAAAGCCATTTAATGGGTACAAAGAAACTACTGCTTGTGACTGGAGGAATGTTAAAGCTGAACTCCAAGCAGATATCAAAAAAGCCAAATGAATGCTGCTTTGTTACCATTAATACATCAAATAATGTGTTTTTTAAATGCAAGTGGTATTAAAACCTAAATTTCACCTGTGCTTGGCATATTGTAGTCCCATACAGCAGAGCTGAGACTGGGAGAGTGAGAAGCAGCACAAGGATTTGGTCAGTTCATGTGCTGATAAGAAGCATGCTGATAGGAGGTGAGAACAGAGAAGCAAAGTGGTGAGGTCGTGCTCATCACTGTGCTGCTTCTTGTTTCCCTGTCTGGTGATAGCCCAGGACGAGATGGGCTCGGAGGTAAAGGGTTGAATAATGCTGGACATCAGACAGAGGACATCCAGTGGCAGAAATGAGTACTGCAGTTGAAATCTCTGCACTGAGAATGAACATTTTGTGATTTTATCTTTTAATGTTCTATTCATTTGTATCTTGTTATTTTTAGTTCTGTGTTAAAATTGGCACTGGCATGGAATATGATTTTTACCAATGATTCACCCCCACTGGCCTCTTCCCAAAACCACAGTTTGGCATGGAGGCCTTTTATATGGTCAATCTTCCTGACACTATAAGGAAAAAATACCAATTCCAGTTTAAAGATTTCTCACCGACAAACTGGCATTACTGGAAACCATTTCCCTTTCACATTTTCGGGAAGTCATTTCCGCGAGCTTATTCCTGTCGAGCAAAACGCTCCAAACATGCAAATGCTTCCCTTTGCATATGCAAATGACCTTACTTATCAACATAACGAATAAACAGGCCCTAAGCAGCACAACATGGCCGCTCGCATTGAGCGTTACTTTCGTCAGCCACGATGTCCTTTTTTTTTTTGGGGCTGTCCTCGGTGGCTTGGCTGGCATACGAAAAGAGCGCGGTGACCTCAATTGCGTCATGTGCATATGTCCATCATTCCCGTGGGATTTGCGGACTGTATCTGAAACTGAGGCATGTACGACCGTAAGGACTTCTTGACGAGATCTCGCTGGCTGTAGTCCATGTTGATAAATTCCGATGACTCGTCGTGGCTGAAGTTGATGGTCCCGTAGGAGACGTCTTCCTGGATGTGATAGGTCATTAAGGGATTTTCGGAGAAGTAATCGCTGACCTCGTCGTCGTTTTGAATGGACCCCAGCCCCACGTAGTAGAGGTTCTTCTCCGGGCTGTCGCCTTCGAAGCTTTGCTCAGACGGCTCTGAAAACCCCTCGGAAGACACCGTGGAATTAGAAGACATTTTGCCCGGCTGTTTCGCCTGTAGCCCCGCCATGAGCAAAAATGTTGGGTTGTCGCCGTCCAGGTTCCTGATGGCGGCTGAATTGGCCCGCAAAAAACCTCCGTCGCAGGAGCTGACGCTCAGTTTCCTCCCGTTGATACCCGGCTTGCTTTGCTGGGGGTTGCTTAAGATTGTGGCGTATTTGACGCTGGATTGGCAGGGGCTCCCGCCGTACATGGCGGTCTCGCGGTTGTCCGCGTAGCTGCAGCTGCTGCTGAAGTGGCTAGTGGCACACGCGGAGTCGCGGTCGTCCATCAGCTTCCCAACTATGGAGACGTCATCGGTTTCCTTCTCCCAGGCTTTCACAATATTGAGGTTTTCGAAAATGGCTTCTGGTTCCAGGATTAAGGGGAAACTGTGCGCCAGGTGGTCGCGATGCTTGGTAAAAAGGTTTTCTAGTGTATCTGGCTGGACAAAACAAAAAAACAATCACTTATTTTGAGTAAGTCTCTTAATACCCTCAGACGATGGCTGTTCTTTACGTGCTGCGATATATAACGGGATTAGAGAAGAGCAGTGCGGATTTTAGGTGGATGGCCTGTGTTTGCAGTTGGAGCTGATTTTAGTAAGCGATTCTGCTGAATGCACTCAGAAGACTCATTCTGAAAACAAACCTGAAGCCATTATAACAAACAAATGACTCTTTACTCCGGTTCTGAATTAAAAATAATACTTGAATGGCCAGTCCACCCAAATGTGATTTTCGAGTCACAGGCAGAGCCTGGAGGGCTAAGTCACATACTCAATGAGATCTCCATGCCTGCGAACTTGCCAGAATGACCTGGCGGTGCCGGTGTTCTATCGAAAGCTTTAACTCATCGAAATCTCCAACTACCTCACTTCCGGTGCTCAGAAAGACTGGAGCTCTGTACAGTTGCAGTGCGCATAGCCAGGGCCGGTGCTAGGATTTTTGCCTACACAGGCAAAGGTGCATTTTTGCCCTGTTTTTTCCGCCTTGCGGTAGCGCCGGGCTTACGCATAGCAGTTTCAGAATACTCGTCGTGTTTGCCACCTGCTGAATATTGTTAAAATGCACCTGTACAGAGCTCTGTCGCTCTTAGTGTTTTGCAGTCTAATGCCGTCTGGTCCAAATCTCTAACTTGCAAGTGAGGTAGTTGGAGATTTCGACGAGTTGGAGCTCTCGACAGAACACCGGAATGAACCGGCAATGCCGGAATGTCGAGCCAGTTGCCGGATCATTGCTAAAATGAGTGAAAGCTCATGTTCGTAAACATGCTCAGTGTGCATGACATTATTTTGTTGCCCGTCTGACGATGGTGGAAGTGATATGGATTTGAGGGTCCCAGGATCGGGTATCTGCTGGAACTCCTCCGCTTGGTATTCCTACACACACTGTACCTGTACTGGCACCATCTTTCCCCAGGCTCCAGCTTCTTCTTCCTAGGGCCCAGGTGCATTGTTTCTGCTGCGGGGGCATCCTACGGAGCTGGGAGCAAGGGGACCAGCCAGGAGTCGAGCATCACAAGTACTTCCCCTCCTGCCCCTGTATGCTAGGCAGGAATTTGGGCAATTTCTTCCTAGCAGGGGCCACAGACTAGGTGGGCAGGCAGATCCTGGTCTAGTTGCATAGCCTACATTAGAATGAGGATGACAACTGGCAGGTGGTGTACCCCTAAATACTTTAGGAGAGGTAGAGACTGAGAACTTTCCACAATTCGCCCCAATACACTGGGCTGAGCCCAGAGCAACCTGGTAAGGGCTAGCTTCTCATATATTGGTATGTAAAGGGAGTACTGGGGGGTGCTGTGTACTGGGGGATTCCCAAGCATGACCTAACATCTGCCACCCATTCAGTGCTAAAAAAATAGTGCTGTGCTAAGCAATAGTGGTGTTCACTGCATGCGGGTCTATATTTCCGTACTTTGCTTCACTAACCACAACCTTTAACAGATAATAACACTTACATAGAAGCATGATAGTGCTCAGGTCACTCATACTACCAATTGTTTTGCACACTTTGGCCACAATCACCATTCGGAATGCCATGCAATGTGTGCTCCAATTGGCCCCACCCACCACTCTGCCCCCAGTTTCAGGAATTATATTTTTCATAAGCTCCCAGGTATGGAGAGCTCCCTGCTGTAATTCCCGGCTCGGTCCGCTCCTCTGCTCCGTGGGCGGGTGCAATAGCCAGCCTGCTATTGGATATTGCAATTTGAAATAGCCAATAGCAGGCTAGCTATTGATCCCCGTTGTTTACATTCTGCTGCCGAGTAGGAGGCCATCACAATGGGCACAGCGCGGATGGTTGGCCATTGTTTTAGAGGGTGCTAGTTCACATCTGTGCGTTACGCTGCCATGCACTTTTTAGTATGCATTGAGCCATGTTTAGGACATATTGAGGTCGGACAATGGCAGCATATGGTTGCTGATAATGCATAAAAACACACACAGAAAGCGATGAGTCCAGCATTAGTCATCAACAATGTGGAAGGAAAGTACTCAGTGGCTGGGACAAGCTCACCTTTTGGAAGTTGACACCTTGAGCCCAGGAGCAGTATTTGGGGTTCGGTACATCCTTCCAGAACAGCCTCTTCATCCTGGAATAAACAAGATAAACATCATTCAGGGTCCTCTGACAATATGGGGATAGCGTTATACACTGCGGTCTGAAGGACAGCTCCTCTGTGATTCTACAAACGCACCTAAGGTTAACAATGATGAAGATCCCCTTTAAGAATATTTTTTTTCATCTGTGAAATACTATTTTGTACACTGTATAGACTGTTTCGCTAACATGTATTTATTGCATATATTCACGTGATGCAGGGGCGTAACTAGAAATCACAGGGCCACATATGGGGCCCCTTTGATCTCTAGTTACACCTTTTGCAGAGCCCAATTGAGATCCCACACAGCCCACCTGAGGGTGAGCCTGCAGAACCCACCATAGACTCTCTAAGGTGGGCTCTGCAGGATCACCCTCAGGTGGGCTGGTCACACTCCTTACCTGTCCGCCTCCTCTTCCTCCACCATCAGTGATGAGCCCCGCCTCCTCCGCCCATACCCTCCCCCGTCGCCAGGCCCCGCCTCCTCCTCTGATGCCAACCCCAGGACCCGCCTCCTCCCCCACTGCCGGGTCCAGCCTGCTCCACCGCCGCTGCTGGCTCTCACTGACTCTGTGGAGAGGAACGCACCGTTGCACAGATCAATGTCAGTGATCTGAACAGCGGCACATTCTTCTTGACAGCCGCCGGTGACAGCCAGCAGCGTGAGATGCCATTGCGACCCAGGCGACACGCAGGGGATCAGGAATGTCCTGGCCGGGGCCCCCCTGTGCCCCGGGCCCCTTAGCGGCTGCCTGGGTCGCTATGGTGATTGTTACGCCACTGACGTGATGGTATAGGTGATTGATGCACAGTCTATACACCTGATGCACACTCTAAGGCCCCATTCACACTGAGCGATTCGCAAATCTGATCAAAAATGCTTGCACTGAGCAAGCTAGAATCGCGGCAAAATCCGCTCCAAAAAGGGTCTCGCTGTAGCGACACACGACCCGCGACAGCGACGGACAGAGCCCCATTTCCATGCATTGGAGAGCGATATCGCGGGAATTACCACGCGATAAATCGCTCAGTGTGAATGTGGCCTAAGGGTTAATACCTTTTAGCACAGCACACTTGATGTTATAGGTGATTGATGCACAGTGCATACACTTGATACATATTTAAGGGTTAATACCTTTTAGCACAGCTGCACAGTCCACACGGGGAGGTTTGTTATCCTAAAGCGCAGATTATTATTGGATTCATATACAGTACTACTGAATGATATTCATATTTTAGCAGTGTATTTAGCTCTGATGGTTGGAGTGTTGCCTTAAACTTTATGTTCACATCAGTTAATAAAAGATGACATTTACCTTTGATGCGATATTGCCAGAGTTATCACCAGCAGAAAGGACGTTGCCGTTATTACAGGTAATATTACATATATGCCGGCATTATTACGCATCTCATCAGGTTCCTCTGAAAATACAAAGTGAAAATAATCAGACTAAAAGAAAAAAAAATCATCACGACAAACACTTTATATTGCAGTACATGTGAATTGACATTCCCTCTCCTTCACTGCCAATAAATAAACGATACCTGTGAATTTATTTCCTGCAGCTCCACATTTGGAGACTTCGGACAGAGCCGGATTTCCCACAAGGCCAACCAAGGCCTGGCCTCGGGGCAGCAGGGAGTAGAGGGGCAGCAGGGGTGTGGAATTCCTATCTCCTGATGCCCGGGACATGCAGTTCTGGGGCTTCTTGGGGCAGCAGAGAGAGTAAATCCGGCCCTGACTGCAGAGTATTATCAATAAATTAGAAGAAACCTGTAACAAGAGAAATGTGTAGGCTGAAATCTCTGACCTCCATCTCTGCAAATGTTAGTTGTCTGACTTTGATGGTATACTAATCGCATACGTAGTAGAATCTATAACCTGGAACAAGTATAGAGACTGGAAGCGCTGACTTTCTAATCTGCATGCTTGTTCCAAGTCAGTTAAAGTTGTAAAGCTAAAAGCAGGCAGACAGAGGCATAGCTCCACATACAGGAACGTCAAGACGGGAGACATAGCCCCACATACGGTAACCACATGACAGGAGACTTAGCTGCTCATATAGTAACATCATAACAGAAGACACAGCTCCAAATAGGGTAACCACATTATGAGAGCTGAAGCTCCACAAAAAGTAGCCACATGATGGGAGACCCAGGTCAACATACGGTAACCATATGATAGGATACCTAGCTCATCATGCAGTAACCACATGACAGAAGCGGTAGCTCCCTATACAGCAGGGTTGCCCACAATTTTTGTGTTAAGATCTACTTTTCAAATGGCGAGCTACATGAGATCTACCAACGAAAAAAAACCTCCCTCGCTCTCTCTCCTGGCTGTCTCTCCTTGCTCATCCTCCTGGCTGTCCTTCCTCTCTCCTAGCTATCTTTCCTTCGCTCGCTCTCTCCTGGCTGTCATTCCTCGTTTTCTCTCCTGGCTGTCTCTCTTTGCTCTTTTGGCTGTCTCTCCTTGCTCTCTCCTCTGGCTGTCTCTCCTTGCTCTCTCCCCTGGCTTTCCCTCGTCTCTCTCTCTCTCTCTCTCCTGGCTGTCTCTCCTCTCTCTCTTTCCTGGCTGTCTCTCCTCGCTCTCTCTCTGCTCACCTTGCTGTATTTTGCAAACAGTGTGGTGCAACAGGCTGTGTAAACTAATATTCTTTGATGTAATACATAGCACTTCAACCACCAGTACCCACCAGAAAGGTGTCAGGGAGCTTGGCTCAGCAGACTCCGGCTAATAGGTAATCATGTGTGCACAGCTAAATAAATATACCAAAATGGAATAAAGGGGCCGCCATTCACACCCATCGTGATCTACCAGCATCAGCTTTGAGAGCTACTGCAAGATCACCATCTACCTAATGGGCACCCCTGCCATACAGTAACCACATGTTTGGATACTTAGATCATCATATGGTAACCACATGACAGGAGACTGAGCTCCTCATACAGTAACCACATGACAAAAGACGTAGCTCCTCATATGGTAACCACATGGCAGAAGACGTAGCTCCTCATATGGTAACCACATGACAGGAGACCGAGCTCCTTATACAGTAATCACATGGCAGAAGACGTAGCTCCTCATATGGTAACCACATGACAAAAGACGTAGCTCCTCATATGGTAACCACATGACAGGAGATTGAGCTCCTCTTACAGTAACCACATGATGGAAGACGTAGTTCCACATAAAGTAACAACATGGTGAGAGCTTAAGCTCCACATACAGTAGTCACATGACAGAACATGTAGTTCCACATGAAGTAATAACATGACGAGAGCCATAGCCCCATGTACGGTAACCTAACCACATTGCGGGAAACGTAGCTCTACATACCGCGGTAACGTAACCGCATGACGGGAGACTGAGCTCCTCATACAGTAAGCACCTGACAGAAGCTTTAGCTCCATATACAGTAACCACGTGATGGAAGACATAGCTCCAACGTGTGACAAGAGAACTATGTGACAGGATGTATCTCCACATACAGGAACTACATGATGGGAAAGGTAGCTTCACATACAGGAACTATGTGACCTCGGGCAAAACTCCAGACAAAATAAGATAGAAATCATTCTCCCACTTTCAAAAATAGCAAAGCCAACTTTTTCTGCAATATTTTCCTTCAGTTCAGTAATTTCCCCTTCAGAGCTTTTATTTCTACCATTAAATGTCCTAAACATCATTCCATACACTTCCTCTAAGCCCAGGTCACCCTGGACCCATCCCATTCAGTGACTGGACAGTGAAATAAGAAGCAGCACAATAATGAGCTCATCTCTCTGTCTCTCTGCTTTATCTTCCTATCAACATGCTCCTTGTCAGTACATGAACTGATTGGTTCCTTGTGCTGCTTCTTTTTCTCACACCCCAGCCCTGCTGTACATAGGCTGCAAGAATGGCAGATAACAGGTCAGATTCAGATACTTCCACTGATTGCATATAAAAAAACCACACACATTTACATGCTCCCCGCAGGGATTCCCCCCTCTCCGATCCTCCAGCGCTGACTAGAGGAACGGATGGGGGAAGGGGCGGGTACAGCTGGCTCTGCTTCTAGATAGGCAGAGCCAGCTGTCACTCACGCAGCTGGGTGGATCTCGACAGCCATACTGTGGTCTTAGTGGTCTTAGTATACCGCGAGCTGTACTGAGCTTTGGGTCATGGAAGGACGCTAGTATATGTCCTCCCGTGACCCTTAAGAGAACTATGGGGAAAAACACTTAACCTATAGTTCTCTTTTAATGATGTATTATTGATAACAGAGCTGCATTCATTTGTGTCTTTGATATCTCCCTGGTGTCCATCTTTTCTTTTACCTTTAGAAAGTTCATAGGTGATTTTTGGTCTTCCGGCACCTTCCAGAAACACTGGAGTCAGGCTGAATTGGTATTTCTCAATGGTGAAAAAATGGTCTGTAAAAAAGAGTGACGGCGTCATTCTGGGAAAGGAGAAATGAAATCACAGTTTCTCTTAGAAGCTTCCATTCAGTGGCGTAACAACCGGGGGTGCAGCAGGGGCGCGGGCACCGGGCGAAAAGTGATAAATACCCAGCGCACACGAGACGCATCGCGTAGGTTCTTCCATTCCAAGACGAGCTCGAGGACATTGTGCTCCGTCGGGAGCAAACTCCACACCGCCACCACACTTTTGTTCAATGGGTGCACCTCCAGCGATTCCACTGCCTGCACTTGAAAGGAGAACACACAACTTGTTTAAAGTTGGAGAGTTGTATTTTAATTAAAGTGTTTTTTTTAGTTTTAGATCGTGTAGGGGACGTGAGGGGAAAGCCCCATCTTAGGCCCCATTCACATTGAGCGATTTATCGCGCGATTTTTGCAGCGATATCGCTCATATTTCCGCGCTAAATCGCTCTATGTAGCTTCACCAATACATTTCAATGTAGCTGTTCACATCTCGTCGCTCAATGTCGCTCAATATCGCTCAATATCGCTTGGAGCTCATCGCTGGTAGCTTGTCGCTTCTACATGACCCTTTTTTAGAGCGATTTTGAGCGATATTGCTCCTGATTGCATACAGCCCAATAGGAAGATGTTGCGCGATGTCGCGCGACACGTCGCTCAATGTCGCTCAATGTCGCTCAAAGTCGCGCAATTTCCATGTCGCTCAGTGTGAATGGGGTCTTAGACAGTTGTCACCAGAACAGGTACCCCCAATGAAAGATTTCCCGCCACCTGTTTATAACTATAAAATCTTGTATTTCCTATCACCTACTGTCTCAGTCACGGTCACAGCCGCCACCGGGACAAATCCTCCGGTAGACCCTTTTTGCACCCAGGGCTGGATTTACTCTCTCTGCTGCGCCAAGGCCAGGTTCCTCAATACGCCCCCTACCTTCCACCCCCCCCCCCCCCACCCCAAATGAGCAACACCCAGCCACCACCAATGTTCCTCAATGCGCCCACCCTACCCCCACCCAATGGAGAATGGCAAACCTGCAGACTGCATACAAGTGTTCACGGGTGACATCTCCGAGATCAGTTGTGCATAACAAGCGGCGGCTTCCTCGCTGTACATTTAGCTCTGCTTGCTCAAAGCAGGGCTAAATGTAGAAAACAACTACCTTCCTGGCGCCCTGAAGTGCATGTCCTGGGTGTCGGGAGACAGGAATTCCATACCCCTGCTGCCCCTCTACTCCATGCTGCCCCAAGGCCTGGCCTTGGTTGGCCTAGTGGGAAATCTGGCCCTGTTTGCACCCGCTGCCTGCTGAAGTGCCCAAGGCAGCCGCATCCAAGCCAGGGATAGACTGGTAACCTTTGGCCTGGGAGGGAACCCACTAACCTTTTGATGGTAGGGCTAGGCTAAACAAAGTGTACCATGAAAAGTGTGCCATTGTGCCACACTGATTGGTAAGCATGGTAAAATTGGGTGTGCCTAAAGAATGTGGTTTATTGTGACACACCTATTCACATCTTCCTACACTAGCTTCCTTTGTGGCTCTTGGAATTCCATCATGTGGGATCTCAGAGCCGCATAGTAAGGTGGTGCTGGAAACAGGTATCAACAGGTGAAACTCGAATAATTAGAATATCGTGCAAAGTTCATTTATTTCACTAATGCAACTTAAAAGGTGAAACTAATATATGAGATAGACTCATTACATGCAAAGCAAGATAATTCAAGCCGTGATTTGTCATAACTGTGATGATTATGGCTTACAGCTCATGAAAACCCCAAGAACCCCAAATCCACAACCTCAGAAAAGTAGATTATTACATGCAATCAATAAAACAACGATTGTACATAGAACAATATCGGACCTCTGAAAAGTACAAGCATGCATATGTACTCAGTACTTGGTTTGGGCCCCTTTTGCAGCACTTACTGCAATTACTTTTGCACGATATTCTAATTATTCGAGTTTCACCTGTATATAATGCCCAGCATGTGCCTCCGACTGTGGGTCTTGCTCTGACTGATGTCTGAATGATGAGACATCTCCATTCAGAGCCACCAGCCTGGCCGAGGAGGGAAAGGCCACCCTGCCCCCAGTCCAGTCCTCCCCTGGCCCTAGTGAGGACTGGTAAGAATGGTTATTCAGTCACATAGGGTAAGAGAAGTGAAGGACCATGGAGTTAACCCAATAAACAGCAACTATTTTCAGCTCTCTTGGATATAGAGACATTTATTTGTATCAAACACTAAGGCCTCTTTCACACAGGCGGTCCAATTGGGTCCATCTGTCTATTCTTTCTGCCCAATGCTAGTCTATGGGCAACTGGGTATAAACGGACGGGCGTCTGTTTATACTCCATAACCCCCCAACTCCGGCCAGGTCTGGAAAAACAAAAGGAACAGAGTTTTATTTCACCGGGCCTGATTGTGCCGTATCGGGGGTAATCTGATGTAAATGGATACATGTCCGTTTGCATCTGACTCCCCATAGACCAACATGGGGTCTGGCAGTTTAAGCTCTTTCCTCCATGGAGAAAAAAACTGGATGGACATGGATGTCAAGTGGTGGCATCCAATCCGTACTGCTCCGGTCAGGAGGGGATCCGTGCACGGCTCCCCTCCTGATCAGCCCGCGTGAAAGGGGCCTAGCACTCGTTGTTAATATTATTTACATCAACTTGTTATAATTACATATATATATAGATACAAGTTAGTAAATAGATCATGGTTTTCCCTTTATCTTTTTCTTTAAGGTTTACCTGTGCTCATTCTCTGCGACAGCAATACATTTCGGTTCATACTTGAATGACCAAGAGCATTGTGTGCTCGGACGGTGACAGTAACATCATTATTCTGAAGAGTAAATGTGTAGTTTGTGGAGTTCCCAACATATCTTGATGAGATAACTTCGTGGGATATTTCTGATAACACTTCATATTCCACAGGACCGCACAGGAAGGGTTCCTTCACTGGCTGCAATAAACATCAATGCTTATTAAAAAAGCGTAACGGCCAGTGCCCACCACATTTAATGAATACTGTGTATGTAAACATGTGCCTGATTTGACTCATGATACATAACTCAAAGCTTTTAGAGCTCTACCCTCCTCTTCTAGGTCCAAAAAGTATGGAGTAAAAAACAGAAAACACAACACAGGGTAATAGAAGTGAGCCAGATAATAAGCGGAGCGGAGAAGTGGTCTTTGAAATAGGGAAGGGGTTCAGCTTAGGGTATGTGTTCAAGGATATCCTAAAATGCATAAACAGAGATTGAAGGACAAGGCAAGGTGTTTTAGTTTGATCCTTCTGTGATTAGTCTTGAATTCTTTTTTAAACACTTAGAGGTATAGTTATATACAATTTGCAGGGCCCTTCTCCCTGTGAACATCTGTGAACATTCATAGTGTACAAATAACTACACAATCATTCTTAAAATATTTTATTTTCAGGTTGAATGTATTATGATGTAATACTGCATTATGACCAGTAGATGGGGCTGAGGAGCATAGGAAATAAATACTTATGTCTTATGCTCCTTAGCTCCATCTAGTGGCTATAATGCAATGTTAAATCACAATATATTTGACCTGAAAATAAAATATAGTAAGAACCTTTTTTTTGTCATTAATTGCACAAAACAAACCTTCACAGATTTTCGCAGGGTGATGGGACCTGCAAATTGTTAATAAATAGACCTCTTTAAGGCTTCAGTGTACTTTTTTGTAAGACTACGGCCAGCTTCACATCCGAGAGGTCCCGTCTTCTGAATCCTTGGGAAACGTGCGCTAGTGCGCATATGCTCGCAATGTAACGTACGGGCAAGGACGCGCTGATGGCCGTGCACAGGATGTGACAATCTTTCCTTGATGGATGAGCCTATATAATCCAGTCTGCCTTACAGACCATTGCTGAATGGTCTTTCAGCTTGTCTGTGTGAACCTGTTACTCTGCCCGTCGGCTTGCTCCTTGTGTATTGACCCGGATTGCCTCTGACCTTGCCTGATTGCTGCCTGCACCTGACCCCTGCTTGTTCCTGGATTCTGCCTCTGTCTTCTGCTACTGTACTTCGCTGCCTGCTCGCTGTGACCCTGGGCTTGTCTGACCCGCTCCTGGATCCTGCATCTGGACTATCACGTGGCACGGTGTCGGCACACCTCTTGGCACTTGTGCAACTCTTCTGTCCTCCCACTCCCTGTTTCCACTCTCAGGAAAGCGCAAGGGAGGCCTCCTCAGCTATTCGGTCTTCTACCAGGTACGTGATAACTACTCACTAAGCAAAACTGTAGAAGATCATCTGATATGTGGCAATTTCGACCACTTCAAACCAACTTTCAATAACAGAAACCAAATGGACTAATGCAACCTCCCACAGCTTTCATTCAAACCATAAAGAGATCAAAACTGTTGGTGGAAGGTTGCCTTGATCTGTTTATTTTTTTTGTGATCAAAGGTCTGTAAAAAGTGTTTAAAATTGGCACAAAATTGCCAGCATAGCCAGCATTGGTTTCTACAATAAAGGTACAAAAAAGGCCTTTACTCCCCTTACTATAAAGTAGGGATGCACAGATACTTTTCGAGTACCAGTACAGATACTTGGCATTTTCATGAGAACTACCAGGGTTGCAGCTGGGACTGGGCTCTGGCGCTCCACCACTGTCCTGAAATCATTAGTCTGTATTGTTTTAGAAAAACTGTCACATGACAATAAACAAAAATGTATCAGTACTCGTACTTGTAAGTACTCGGCAAGTACCAGTACTCGTACTCGCAAAACTGGTATCTGTGCATCCCTTTTTTTATATTTATAAAAACAAAATCATACATTAAAACAGAGATGTGCAAATCCCAGGAGCTCCGTGTGCTCCTTACAAATGGCAGCTGCCTCCTAATTTTTGAATTTTTCTCTAGTGTAGTCTTGGAGCTCAAAAGTATCGGTACATGTACTCGTACTTGTACCGAGTACTGTACTTGGTATCTGTGCAACCCTACTATAAAGAACAAGCCATGGTACAGGAGCCAATGTTTGGTCCCCTGATCAAGCTGTCATCCAAAACTGATGTTTCCTGGGGACAGTTGAAGAAAACAAAGATACCCCATTTAATCTGTAACTAAAGGCCACATATGGCCTATAGAAAAACATGACATTTATTGGGCTTTCTAAATAATCACAGAAATACTGTCTTGTCAATTTATTAGGAACGTTTGGAGCTTCTAAGGTAAACCATGTAGGCAGCCATCTAATGGACTGAGCCTACATCCATGAGGATGAAGCCTTTCAGATGGCCAGGAACCTGTGACCTCACAATGGCCATTCCCATCCACGCAGCTCAATGAGACAGCAAAATAAATGCCAACCCAGTTACTCCCACTGGCCCCGACATGTACTGTACTCCTCCATCTCTAACTATTGTAAAAGAAGGATTGTGTGTAGTGTACTGAACACGGAAAATAAGCATTACAGTCATTTGGAATGTGACCAACATTCTAAATAGAAACCTTCTATGGCAAAACAAGCAAATGTTTTACTTATCATACATGTTACACTTAAGTGTTTCCCTGCCATATTAATGTAATATTGTCTCCTTTCTGTAGATTATTATTTTGCATTATTCTCCAAAATTCTGGCCCCTTTACAGGTGCTGGAAGATACATAAAAGTGAGTGTCATTATTTAAAAATTCAATTTCTTTGCCCCTTTTTAGTAAAAAAAAAATAATATATATATATATATATCCAGTACCCCGGTACATTCAAACCTCTGCAGCGGACTTGAATGATGTATGATTCACAGGCGTCCACTTCTTCTATGGTGATCGATTCATTGACATATATATCTAGAACCTGGAAAATGTAATGCATTGTTGGGTATGGTTTATGTAACACTGATGGTCTACTATAAAAAAAATATATTCAATATGTTCATATGAAGGTAGGGCAGTCCAATATTGGCTTCTTAAAGTGACACTAAACTAAGGAGTTAAATCTTAAAAACACATTCAAGTACCATAACTAATAACAACATTGTATCTTATTTGTGTATCACTCGGCTGTAGATCCTCCAATCATCTCTGAATTGGTGCCGACACTGTCCTTCCTTCTGGAGGGGGGCTACTTTTGTTCCCTATGGTCCCGTTGTGTTTTGTAAAGTAGTTACCACTCCAAACTACAATCTCATGTTTAGTTTACTAATTTGTATTGAGATTGTAGTCTATCACGGGAGTGAGCTTGGAGCGGTGACTACTTTACAACACACACAGGGACCATGGGGAACACAAGTATCCCCCCCCTCCAGAAGGAAGGACAGTGTCGGCACCAATTCAGAGATGATTGGAGGATCTACAGCCAAGCGATACACAAATAAGATACATTGTTGTTATTAGTTATGGTACTTGAATAATTGTTTTTATGATTTAACTCCTGAGTTAAATGTCACTTTAATTTTGGTGGACCTATTAAAGGAGAACTATGGGCTCAGGGCTTTTCCCCATAGTTCTCCTAAGAGTCACGGGAGAACACAAACTAGCGTCCTCCCGTCACCCAAAGCTCAGTGTAGCTCGCTGTATACTGAGATGCCGCAGCCAGAACGGATCCCAACATTGCTGTCGAGATCCACCAAGCTGCGTGAGTGACAGCTGGCTCTGCCTATCCAGAGACCGAGCCAGCTGTGCCCGCCCCCTCCCCGTCTGTTCCGCCAGTCAGCGCTGGAGGATCGGACAGGGTAGGGGGGGAATCCCTGCAGGGAGCTGTGAGTGACAGTCACAGCTCTCTGCAGGGATAGATCGAGAAGTGAGCGAGCGACGGTATGTGTTCGCTCACCTCCCGATCTACTGAGCCGACATTTGACAGTTTCATTGTCACAGGTCGGCTCAGATTATGAGGCTGAGTGAAAATCCCTTACCTCATAATTCTCCTTTAATATCCAAATAAAACACCAAATCCATATCCTTGTGAGTTTATAAGTAGCCAAGCTTGGGTCTAACCCGAGTGGTGTGGCCACCTTCTCTTTTGTGATCAGGAATGCTTGACATAAAGTTGAGCTAGCTATGAAGCACTTTGGGGATTAAGAAGCTGGACCTGGGATGGAGGTAGGTGATGTCCCCTCTAGAATTCTTATTATAATAATAATTTAAAAAAAATCATTGGTGTTCTTAAGTATTCAACCAAAACTGATTAATAGACATCGGCCTACCTCTGAAAAGTTCTATGCAAATCATTTTAGGCCAATCAATAAATTGATTTTTTCTTTTTTTATATAGACATCAATGTGTCCAGTGAGGGGAGAATCAAACAATTCAAATCATAAATCACAAATGTCTGGATACTCCCAAAGCCAGGAAGATCTGCTCCTAAATATTCCACCAAATTACATTTTTGGAAGGAAGAACCTCATTGCTGGTTCTTCCACTAGAGAGGTGAATCTGGAAAACATGGAATGAGCTGACAATAAATTTGCCTCAACTATTACTCAGCTCCGCTGTTTCCCCTGAGTATCCCTTTGTGGGGTTTCACCCAATGTGTCCTACAAAATGGTACCTCCGATGGGATTGAAACCAACCAGTACCTTCCATCCACCTTCTGTCTTCTGCAAACGGTATTGAAGCTGGTAGCGCATAAAGTCAAACACAGCGAACCTCGGCCGTGCCCACGTCACCAGTAAATATCCCGTGCCCACTGTCATCTCAGCCTTGATGTTGGATGGGGCATATGGCTTCACTTTAAAAAAACACAAAAATAAATCTTTTATGTTTTTGAACAAAATTAACAGATGTTTTTCTTTTAGTCTTAAAGCTTAAAAAACATTTCTATCTCTCTCCATGTTTATCTCGCAATAGGTTTCCTTAAAGATAATATTACAGGTATGTCCATTTTAAGATGTTGGTAGAAGTCAAACAGATTTTGAAGTGTTAAAGGGGTTTTACAGACCTCAATGAGGGTTCTATTCACGAAGCTGGCGAAGGATCTGGCCGTAGCTTCCGCCGATCCTTCGGCTAGCTTCGGCCTCAGGACCCCTTGGGTCCAATAGCCCGTACAGCTCCCGAACATAGCCGAGCGGCTCAGTCGAGCCGAACGCATATGCATCGGCTCGGCTGAGCCGTGCTGAAAGCCAAAGCTGGCTGAGCAGCCGGCCATTGGAAATCAGCCGTACCAGCCTGAAGTGAATAGCCGAACAGTGTTCGGCTCACTTCACTTCAGGTCGGTCATTCACTCGGCTGCCTACGGCAGCTTAGTGAATAGACCTCTAAGTGTCCCAGCTCATAAACCCTATTGATCGGCTGGGCTGTAGAACTTCCACTTCACACCAGCAGGTGGCAACAAACCAACATGAATGGGAAAGTTTTTGTATCAGGATTTGAAAACATTTTTGCACTTTTCAAAAATGTTTTGTCTTCCCAAATATTCTACATAAAAACTATTTATGCTATTTTTTTTTTATAAATACATCTGTGTGTTTATCTTTACTAGTGTATAATTAAAAGAATGCTTATTGATTTTAATAATAA